AGTTTCTTGATGTATTTCAAAGTAAATTGCAGGCATTAGTACACTTTTGCTTAAGCACTTAAGCACATATCTCATTATCTGGAATTCATTATTTATAGCATTTTTCTTCTGATGCAAAATTTCCATGCCATGAAATGCACAAATCTTGAGTACATTGTGTGCATACATCCATGAGATCAAACTATATTCTGTAGCTTGCTCTTTTCGCTTGCTGTCTTGGATTTCTTACCTCTTATACATGTATAGTGATCTTTCAAATTGCTACATGGTTTTCAGTAATATGGATGTAACAAGTTCAGTTAGCTATTGATAGACATTTAGATTTTCATCTGTGCTGCAATAAATATACTTGGCAGATGTGTAGGATAGAGACCTACAAGTGAAATCCCTAGGTTAAAAGGTATGCACATTTAAAATTTTAATAGATGCCTACAAGTTGCCAACCAAATAGGCTATACCAATGAAATCTTCCGCCAACAGTATTTCCCTATACCCTCACCCACACTATCATCATTTTCTTTTAATTTGATTACTAGTGAGGCTGTGTATGGTTTTCCAAGCTAATTTTTAAGCTTTTAGTGGGTAAAGGGCTGATATCATCTACCACCTTCATATCTGCTCACTGAACATTTGCTAATTGAATGAATGAATCATGCTAAAGCATTCCTGCTTTATTAGGGTGAGGCTAAAGAAAGGATAAATTAGCTAAGTATGTGAGAGGTTAAAGAAAGCTGAAGTGGCTCAATGCATGTGTGCCTTAAATAAGTAAAGAAGGGACTCTGCCTTCATTTCTTCTCTTCTGTGAGAGAGAGGAGGCCAGACTTTGGAGGCAGATTTCATGGATTCATGCCTCAGTTTTGCCTCTTACTGGCGGTGCAAACTTGGACAGTTTACGTAATCTTTGTGTTTCAGTTTCCTTACTTATAAAATAGAGAATAGTAGCACCTTGGTTATAGAGTTGTTGTGAGGGTTTAATTAATATTTGTTAAGTTGTGTAGAATGGTGCTTGGCACTCAATATATGTTAGCTATTGCTGTTATTTTTTTCCCTTCTGCAAGAAAAGTATTTGAGTGTCTGTAATGCATTAGGCCTGTAAGGAATGCAGGTTGAAAAGGATCTTCCCGGGCCGGCCCGGTGGCGCACTGCTACAGTGTGCCGCTTGGGAGCGTGGAGGCGCTCCCGCCAAGGGTTCGGATCCCACATACAGACCAGCCGCTCACTGGCTGAGCGAGGTGCGGGAGCAACACCGAGGGTTGCGATCCCGTTGCCGGTCCCGGTCCGGTACGGGCGCGACACTGAGGGTTGCGATCCGTTGCCGGTCATGAAAAAAAAAAAAAAAAAAAAGGAAAAGGATCTTCCCTATACCGGTCAGCTGCAAAAAAACCCAAGAACAAAACAAAACAAAACTTCAGAAAATTACCCTACCTTGAAGAAGCTTATAGACTCAAGGCTGTTTAGGGGAGTGGTAAGACATTTCGCAGGGCTAGATGACAGGGTGGGGACTGCAAGGAGATAACTGGTGAGTTAAGTTCCTCCCCCAGTCATTAAGGAAGGGTTTTGTAGGCTAAACTAAGGAATTTGGATTATATCTGAAGTGATGGGAAGCCAGTGACAGATTTGCAGCTGCACTGTATTTGTATTTGAGGCAGATCATTTTGGAAGGAATGTAAAGACTAGATAGACTGGAGGGGGAGAGATGCTGAGAGTATTAGGGAGAGATGCTGAGAGGGAGGGGGAGAGATGCTGAGAGTATTAGCAACAGTTGAGGTGAGGGATGGTGAGGACCTGGAGTAAGGGAGTGACTGTGACTAGAGAGGACGACTAATTTGAAAAACAATTAGGAAATCAAATTATGGGTGATGATTGTTAAAGGAATGAAGTGTGGTTCAGAGAAAGGTCAGACCCTGGGCAGCCTCTTTAGTGTGGTAGAGGCAATCTGGAAAGCAGACTCTGGAGGTGAATGAAGTTAAATACTCTGTGTAAATCACACTCACTTTATAAATGGAACGATATTCTAATAGCAATAAGATATAGGGCATGATCTCAAAATAAAGCACAAGGATAGTACTTTATTACTTAATCTGTGAAAAACTCACTACAATCCTTTTTCCCTTCTTCCTTCCTCTTTCTCTCCCTATAGACTGGTCCATAGACTAGCATTTGGGAATCACTAATGTAGTCTAATCCCCTCCTTTTGCAGATACGAAAACAGGATCAAAGTTACAAAGCTTCCATGTCAGAGTTTGGACTAGGATCCAGTTCTTGACAGTTACCTCAGTGTTTTTTCCAAAGTCTTATGCTGTACTCTTCAGATATGAATTTGGTTTACCATTTGTAAAGTACTTGGTTTTGGTTACAGAGATTAATCTTAGATGAGTTAAGGAACTAGGTTTCAAACCAACAGAACACAAGAGCAAACTATGGTTTAGGTCATGGATATACATAAAAGTAACAGCCAAGAAGTCTTTTAAGACTTTTTCGCCATCCATTTATTAGACCCAGTTCCTCATCCCAAAATAGATTGAAGTATAGTGTTCATGGGCAGTTGACCAGTGGCTCTTCAAGTATCAAGTCATAGTCACAGTCACTCCCTTACTCCAGGTCCTCACCATCCCTCACCTCAACTGTTGCTAATACTCTCAGCATCTCTCCCTCTTTAGTCTATCTAGTCTTTACATTCCTTTCAAAATGATCTGCCTCAAATACAAATAGAATCCAGCTGCAAATCTGTCACAGGCTTCCCATCACTTCATGTGTAAATCTATATTTCCAATCCCTTAGTGTGTCTGAAAAAATGTGAAATATTAAGCTAAATATGTTACTTCCTACTAGAAAACCCTAGGAAAATGTAACCAGTTAAGACATTTTAGGGCTGGCTGGTTGCTCAGTTGGTTAGAGTTCGGTGTTATAACACCGAGGTCAAGGGTTTGGATCCTGTTACTGGCCAGCTGCCAAAAGAAAAAAGAAAAAAAATGGCCAGCTTGCAAATTAAGCAATTGTACTGCTGTGTCAGGGTCCAACTTAGGTTTGTGAGGTGTGAGAGAAACCTGAGATATTATTTCAAGGCTGAGGGTTAGAGTGACAGGTAGGTTGAGGACGATGGTGACAACAGAGAAGAGGTGAAGCAGCCTTGTGGAATCCTTGTGAAGACTGCTTCCTCTTCAGGGCTTGTGAGCTCCCAGGGAATGAAGAAAAGAGGTATGGGTAGATTTAGAAATTAGGTAAAGGCTTTTTTTTTTTTTTTTCCATTTACAAAAAGAGCCATACTTCACATGAGGGGGTGGCTTGCTACATCTCCCACTACTACTGTAATTTTTATCTTTTTGCTGCAGGAATGGTGTCTTGTTTAAGAGATTTTTTGTGACTGGGAAAGTGGCGAGGGTTGGCCCCATTTTGTCTTTGGATGGCTAGAGCATTCTTTCTTACCAGTGGTGTGTTATGCTTATGTTAGTGATACTGATGTTGGAAAAGCTCTGAAAAGACCAAAGTGGATTCCTGAGCAAAGTGTTAAGACTTTCTGTGTCCTGCAGGAAGGAGCGTGTTCCCTCCAGAGTTATTACGCTGAGGGAATCTCCTCTTATATTAAAGAATGTTAGAAAGAGCCAGGAAAAAACTGAGAAGTGAGCTGTTCCAACTTTCTTATTTTATAGTTGGAGAAACTGAAACTCATATGGAACCAAGGAACTTTTTGAAACGTGTATAGATTCTTAAATTGGCAAGTCTAGAACTTTTGACTTCTTATTCTTGCTTGGCCCAGTGCTCTTTCCATGATTTCATTTAATTGTTGAAACAATTGATATATTAAAGATTAGATAAAAATAATAATAATGAAAATAAAAACAAAAAATTAAATCACAATTGTACTAGGTTTTTTTTTTTTTTTTTTCCTTTTTGTCTTTTTTCG